CAAGCACGAGGAATCCAATGATAAAATGCTTTAGGGCCAAAATCCTTTTGGTTGAAGTAATAATGTTTCCGTTCTTGAGCGTTAAAAGGGAAAGGAAAAGGAAAAGTCTTGTCCTCTTGCGGTTAGTAGAGTGTGGAGTTATAAACAATGTAAGGAATATCATAATTGGATTTGTAAAACGTTGTATTCTATTATTCAGCAACACTAATCATATTGTTTTAAGCTGTCACTTTCAGCAAAGGTACATTCGGGTAGAATAATGAAATTCCATATCCAACAGCATGAAATCTGAAATGATACTGTTCCAGGGAAAGTCAAGCATTATGGGTTTTAAAATCGATGAAACACTGTTCTAGAAAAGATATTCCTACCACCATGAAAGGTACAAGTCCTTTTTTTTAACCACAAGTAAGTTTTGCGAGATTAAGTGCTTAATCCAATAAGTAGCTCCAAAAGATAAGGTTGGTTTAGTGGATGTTGTCGTTTAGCCAGTATGGCTTCACCAGTTCAGTGTATAGTGAGACAGATGCTTTCTTCTTATCCTCTCACTTTCAAATTCTTGTAATTAAACCCATCTCCTTCCTCTATTTCCTCCACTGAAAATCTCACACCAATGATTATGAAAAGGGAATATCTTCCAAAATAAGATGGAAATCTGACCATATGGCAACAATTTTGATTGAAGGTAATTAATTCTGTCATCCCAAGCACTCGGTATAAAGTATAAATTAACGGTTGTTGAAGATTTGCAGTCAGCCACTAATCATATACGAGTATTCTAAAAGCAAGAAAGAAGCAAATCTATTGGATTACAAGTCATAAAATTACAAATAATTGTTCAAAGCATAAATAAGAGAGGACGATGGACACTGGTATATTATACACACACACTTTGCATTAGCCTTTTTCTTGGGTGCTGGGATTCTTTAATTATACATATCCTTAAGCTGTAGCAAATTGACAAGGATATATCATCACCTTAAATTTGAATCTCACAATTAATGGTTGTCACTTTGTTGGTTGAGTGGGCCTGAACTGTAGTTAGTGATGAGGATATTCACCTGTTGTTTTGTCGTCAGACTAATCAACAATCTTTAGCTGTATGCAATCATGTGAATGAGAAATTGCTCGCCACTGCTCAGCAATCTTTGGCAAGCACTAGCCGCAAAGCCAGGATATGGAGCTTCTCACCAGTCATAATTTTAATTTATACCAGTTTTAAGAGTTGGGTCTCCGTATTTAAACATATAGAGAGATGATCTTAAAAATGAAAATTCCATGTGCAGTACTAGTAGCTGCCCAGAAACTCAGATATGTATGAAAGAGCTGTTGAGAATGCATATATGCCATCTGAACCTAGCATCTCTGATGAATGCTTCGAGCACACAGGTTCAATGCTATAGTGAAGTTTCCTGCAGATTTTTCTTTTTTCTTCTTTCTCATAAGAGTAATCATTGTGAGGGCTGAACCGTCGACATATTTTAAAGTAAGTTATAGTTGATGAATATAGATATATAAGACAATTGCTCATAGAACCCAAGTAAAAATATTAAGTGTAAATAGGTCTCTTAAATTTCCGTTATCACTTAGAAGTTCTAGAAGATAACCTAGGAATCACCTGAAAAAAGTGTGAAATTACCTCCATAGTTTTTTTACTGTGTTGACCAACTTGAATTGGTTGACTAATCATTGACCATACCAGTGTTGGACTGTGGTAGTAGTCGTTAACCAACAAAAGTTGAAACAAATATATTTTATTGTGATAATAATTGAAATTTGGGACCTATTTATATTTAGTAGTTTTAGTTGGCGCCTATAAATAATTTTGGCCAAAAAGTTCCAGTTTTACCCACGGGTAAATCAAGTGTGAATTTGACACTTGCAAATTTATGTTGGCCCCACAAACTTTTAAGAGGCTTTCCTTTCCTGATATAGAGTATCATACTATCAGGATCCACTGAACTCAGACACTTACACCTTATAAAGTAGAAACCACCAATAATTTTTTGATGCGTGTACTTGTTTATATTGGTGGGAATGGTTTTCTGAAGAGTACAAGAATAAGAGATGAAGAATAAAGTGGTGCACGATATCTTCAAAACGTGAGTGGTACTTTTCTTTAAGTTTAATTTGCTCCCACTTATTCCTATCTTATATTCATATATGAGTTTGACATTTACAAATTCATGTTGGCCCCGTAAACTTTTAAGAGGCCTTCCTTTCCTGATATAGAGTATCAGACTATCAGGATCCACTGAACTCAGACGCTTCAACTTGTAAAGTAGAAACCACCAATGGTTTTTTGATGCGTGTATTTGTTTATGTTGGAAGGAATGATTTTCTGAAGAGTACAAGAAGAAGAGATGAAGAAAAAAGTCGTGCATGATATCTTCAAGATATAGGCAGTACTTTCCTTTAGGCTTAATTCGCCCCCACCTATTTCTATCTTATAGGATGCAAGTTGGATTGACCAACGAATTTCTTTCAAGGTGTAATAAAGACCCTTGAATATAGATTGCACTTTCAAGATTCCAGCAAAGAGAACGATAACCTTTACAAAGTGATAATTTGACTCTATTTCTACACGCACTCAAAGATAAAGGCAATGAGTTTGATCTTTGTGCTTATATTGTGTTGTGTTATATCCAAATGAAGTGATGGTGAGAGGTTTATATAGACTATAAAATGATGCCTTGAAGAGTTGAAGAGATACCTTTTGAAATAATATCTTATTAAACAAAAGTCACAACCATATGTTGGTTCATGCCAGCATAATTTAAATAAATAAAATGTAATATGTAGGGTATTTTATTTTAGTATTGTAACTTCCTACATAACCCTTTATATAAATATATTAATTTATATGAAAACACAACCCCTCATATAAATATATTAATTTATATGGCAACACAATCCTTCAAATAAATTCATTAATTTAATAAATTTACATAAAGACATAACTTTTCAAAAACACATCTCTTCATTTTAAAAATATTTCAACAGTTTATGCTTATGCAAAGACATACTTGGCTTTCCAGAGAGCCTCATTTTTCATTTCTCCATTAATAATGTCTGAGATTCCTCCCTTGTTGACATCAATTACAGTTTTAACTGAAAATGGGAAATATCAGGCGCCATCAAGGAACATGATATCTTAAACCAAAACATGGTGAACTAAAAAATCGGTAACTTTATAATCATTTAGATGTGTAGAAATTGACTCTAACAGACAAATTTAAAGTTGTGGCTTTCGGGTGCAAGGTAACGCGGCTTTACATAACGGGCTCCAATATTGAAACTTGAAAGCGGGCAACCATCCTCGCTCGAACCTAAAGTCGAGTTATCTTTTGGGCCTTAAAGTCCAAGTTGACTGGGCTTTGGCCCAAAGTTTCGTCTACGCTGGAATCAGCATAAGGCCCAAAGTGTATGCACTAAGTGTTGTTTAGTTTTTTCTGATTTCTTGTCGCCAAGTCACCTCTTTGGTCGCCTGTAAATAGAAAGTAGAAACTACCTTCTGGGCCATAATGGAATCCTGCAGCTTCATCCTGTAGAAATCTATCAGACAATGAGAATAGCATTGATTTGTGGACAAACATTATTCTCTCATGGCCCTTTGCTCCGGTCCCTGGCATCTTGGGAAAAAGGTTTTTGATTGTGAGGTTAAATTGCGCAAAAATTCCTAATAATTTCATTTGAACAGCAATTACTTTATTTGGCTTCTTTTTTATTTTATTTATGGGCTTTGCAGATTAGACTAATTGACCATCTATAACTGGGTATTGCTATTTTTTTTTCCCCAAAGTATAGTTTAATTAAATTAAATTAAATTAAAGTAGATGCCAAATGGGGTTGATTGTGATGAAGATGAGAATGGGCAATGGGTGGTGATGGAGCCTGGAGGGAATCATTCCATTCTCATTTGGGGCGCGAAATAAGGCCCCCATGATATATTTCTTGAAATGGAAAGAAAATATAATTAATTGTGGGCCGTGTACAGTAGGGAGCACCAAAGGAATATGGGTCAGAGAATAAATTCCATTGCATTTTATGCAAACACAACACAAGAAGGGGTCCAGAGTTAAAAAAAAGGACCAAGTAGCTGGTTTTTAAAAAACAAATGCCTCTGATTCTAAATATAGACAAGAGTTAATTAGAAGATTGATTTCGATCTGATCTATTTTATTTTTTATATTTATTTTTTTTAAAACTAATTTATCTAACTTACACGTGAACATTTTAAATAATTCATGTCAGATTTGATGTAGTTAACTAATTTATTTATTTATTTTATTTATCCAAACTTGCTAAATAACTTTTAGATTAAAGATGAGAGGAGCATATCTAATGGGGACAAAACAAAGCATTCGAAGGCTTTAATTTGCTGATGAGATCATGGGGTCAAGAACATCAAGTCTTATTTTTCTTTCTTTTTTTGGCCGACAAGCGTCCTATATATACGATATCTTGCTTTTTCAAATGTATATCTTGACTTCCTCTGCTTATCTGCGTGCTATTTGGTAAGGAAACAACCAATCACAGTTCGAAAGAAAAGTGTGATGGAGATTAATAAAGTGTCTGTCTCTTGGCTTTTTTTCATTTCTATATGAAGACATTGTGGTGCCTGTAATCCGTTTTTAACTATGGAATACTGTAACTTCCTCCCTTATATTCTTAGTTCCTTAACAAGATTTGTAAAAAATTAAGATTCTTGGGGACTAATTTTTCCTGTAGGTTCTGTTAACTTGCAAAGAATAAAACTCCCTCAGCTGCTTCTAGCCGTATTTTTGTCTGTCAAGAATTTTCTATTATTATATTGAAAAATATATTCTTAGAACAGCTAATACTTAATTGAGAATGCCATGAAAATATTGGGATTCCCAAATTACTTTTAATGGAATAAAACGTTCCATCTTTAGTGGAACATACAATCGACGTAGCCAATATCAGCTTTCTGAGTCATTTGTCCATTAGCATGTTGATACACATTGCAGAGAGACCAGCAAGAATACTTTGAACGCAGAGATTTCATCTTTATTTACCTGCCTCAAGACTCTGCTGACAACTTCACAAATAAGCAGAGACGCATTAGTATTATAAGCTTATAGCTTCTCATCATTATAAAGAAATGTCTCACAGGGAGACTGCTTTTTATGTGATCTGTAGAAAATACAGGCCTCACCTTCTCATGGTTTTTGTTCAGGTGGCTGTCACACTTCTCTATCTTCTGATAGAGGCTTCCTTCAACAAGGGAATGAATCTTCATGTTTTTGTAACTTACCGGCATGCTCTTGGTGGTATTGTAGTGCTTCCTTTTGCCTATTTTCTTGAAAGGTATATCCTATATACCCTCCTGAGCCTTTTATGGCTGAATATATATCTATATACAGCCCCATTTCTTCAGATTTCCCAGTTAGAAAATTCAGATGATATCACAGAACATTTAGCAGTTTAAGAGCTGCAACTGTTATGAGCACTAGTGGAAATATTCAGACTAACATATTGAACATAAGATTTGTCATGAGATCTATTGTGCTTAATTATTTCCTGACATATAATCATCTTGGCAGAAAATCTAGGCCGAAGATGACGGTGGCAATGTTCATGGAGCTATTTTTGCTTTCCCTTTTAGGGTACAGTACTCAAGTTGAATTCTTGTATCTGTTTAAACCAAAATATAGTTTGATTGAATTCGACTGATATTTATCTTTCTGCATCTTCTTTACTATGGAATAGGGTTAGCCTCACCCTAAACATGTATTTCGCAAGCTTGAAGTATACCTCTCCTTCCTTTGTCACTTCAATGGTTAATACAATATCAGCTCTAACATTTATAATTGCAGTTGCACTCAGGTAAAGTACATGAAGTAAAATTACCATTTCGATTTTCATATTTCTTTCTGCTATAGAAGAAAGAGCTACATTTTTCCTTTTTTTGTCTTTTTGGACGTAGGTTAGAGGCTGTTGATGTTAAGAACCCTCGTGGGGTAGCTAAGATCTTTGGAACCCTTCTATCATTGGCTGGGGCCTTGACTATGACTTTATATAAAGGGCACGCCATACCGAACTTAAAAGCTGCTCCAGTCCTAATCACAGCCCAATCTGCTCATCCTAACTGGATTAAGGGATCTATTTTGACTGTTGCAAGTTGCATATCATGGTCTGTCTTCTACATAATGCAGGTAAACTTGTCTATAATAAATTTAGATGGTACAAAATTTTCTTATACATTAGAATTAAAAAAAATATGAAAGGCTCATATCTAATGCTAAAAATTAGCATAGAAATGCCAAACATAAAACTTATGAACGGAAACCAATACATTAAACACAGAATTGAGCTGCAACAAAAGACTCGCTCCTGAAAGAACAAACATTCTCAGATTGAAAATTGATGTGTGAAAAGTATCATCATATAGATAGACATGGGAAATCTGTCTGTGTGTTGTAGGCATTTATAGTGAAGAAATATCCAGCACAGCTTTCGCTCACGGCATGGATAAATTGTATCGGTGCAGTACAATCAGCAGTCTTTGCTTTGATCGTTGAACACAAGCTCCATGCCTGGTTCATTACGTCCAGAATCGAACTCTATTGCATCTTATATGCTGTAAGTAAAGCTTTACTGCAAAAAATGCTGAAGTTATTGTAGGGTCTAAACTTTAATATGCAACAAACTTAAGTGTTATGGCATTAGCAGGGAATTATAAGTTGTGGCTTGAGTATTTTCGTTCAGTTATGGGCTACGGACCAAAAGGGACCTGTCTTCGTGACTATGTTCAATCCCCTTGGGACAGTCTTAGTGTCAGTCCTGGCGTACTTAGTTATCGGGGAACAGCTTCACATGGGCAGGTAATGTTCGCCCTTCTTTTCAAGCTTTTCAGGTAATGTCCATATGACCATACCCCTGCAGTTTCAGACTTATTTTGGATGTTTCAGTATACTGGGAGGAGTCATCGTCATCATCGGCCTTTACTTGCTTTTATGGGGAAAAGAAACTGATCAAGATTACAAATCACGACAACCATCAAGTTCAGCACATGAGCAAAACGAAAGCAGGACGCAGATAGCGACTTCAGGGCAGACAGAAAAGTTAAGCTCTGAACAAGGTAGCGTCGCGAAAGATGGGATCTTATGACTTGGAAGTCATGAATAGTGCGTACAAGTCTCGAGAGTTCTTGCAATGATGGCGAAATCACAATAGTATGTCGCCAATGTGCTAAAGAGTAAATAAAAAGGATATGATTCCATCCGCGTATTTCATGATATATACCCCAAAATGGCTGAGCCGGTCTATTGTGAATTTTTCTCATCTCGTCACTAATACCAAATAAATAAAACATTTACAAGCAATCCTAAACAAAAGGGTATTTGCACATCGCTTGTCTTAATAAAAGATGCGGTGCTACTCTGAAACACTGTCACATTCTAGCTCATTTTGCTTCTGCAAGCCGTGATCGTATGGTCTCAGGGTCCTGCAGTTTATTTATGCTGCCAAAAGGATGGATAGTTACGTCAAAAATAAGGAAAAGCGAAAGTACATTGTTGAGAGTTTAGAATAAAGAACATATGCAATCAATTCATTGCATGTCAATGCACTATGCTAAGATTCAATGGGAACTCACCAGAATAGCAGATCTCCACTAGAAGCCAACTTTTTAGATATCCATTCTGGAACTAGTTCTAGCAACAAATTCAGCTGCTCTTCAACTTCTCCTAAGAATACAATGAGACAGATTTAGCATAATGAAAATGACTGCGTATCTGACAATTGACTGCATCTAATTGTGTCTTACTCCGGTCAACAATATCACAATGGTTTGAGATTATCTTGCTTAGGAGCTCCTCTTTTGTGACAACAGAACGATTCAATGAATGAATCAAGAGATGAATCATGTTAAATAGCTTAGGGAGGCAGGCAATCATTTTTTTCCGTCTTTTTGCTTGTGAGATAGCCGGATTTCTTTCCTCCATTGCCACTCTCTCCTTTTCTTTAATCTGTGCAAGTTAAGGATAAACATAGGATCCCTTAATCAATAAACAGAAGAAAATAATAAACTCTTCCACGGTTGATGAGAACAACCAGGCAGACCTAATAGCGATCATCAGAAGGACAAAAACGAAAAAGGAAAAAGAAAGCCTATCATATATGTTAACCTCCAGACAAAGAAAAAGAGGTCATTTTTACATATCAATTGTTCAACTTTTGAATTATACAAGACTTTTAGTATAGCATGACCATTCTTTAGGAATTCTGCAAATCAGCCCAGGTAGAAATGTTAAAAACGAGACTCTTAAACTTTCTGCATGTAGCAATGTATAATGAGGTTTGGGACATACCGATTGGAGGAGACCCTCCGGGAGAATATCATAAATATCGTCATCAATTGACAAGCCACCAGCATCATCAGCTTCATTCTCTGTCCTCCGATTTTTCACTGGCGTGTCAAAGTTCAATGACTTCTTCAAACTCGTTGGACGCCTAACTAACTTGTTTGGTGAGCTGCAAGGGCTATCATCGGGGCTCATGTAACATCTCTTAGGGGGAGGCAACGAAGGTGTATGAGTCATCAACCTAGAGGGAGTAGAAGCAACTTTATTTGGTGTGGCAGCTGAAGCACTAGATGATTTGAGATTAGCTGGAGAAGCACATATTGCCGGGCACATAGTAGCGTCTACACTTGATGAATTTTTCTTCATGCTTGATTCTGAAACTGGGACAGATTGAGGAGGCAATGAATCTGATGGTGACTTTTGTTGAACACCATCTGCTTCATCTTTTACATATTTCTGAGAAAAGCGCCTTCTAAAAGAATGAGACATATGAGTGGCTACTGCTCGTTGTTGATGATGTGCTTCATTTGACATGTTAACAGGCATTGACAAGTTTTCTTCGCCCTTAGCAGGCTCTGAATTGATTACCATGGCATTATGTTGCATGCTCTCAGGTTCTGCAGCTCGACGAGGTGCAACTGCATCATTTGATGGTATCGTATCAAATGATGAGGAGGTAGTTCTCAATGTTTCTAAAGGACGATCTTGCTTACGGTGATTGAACGGCTCAGGCAGCATTTCTTCTGGAATCTCATCAACCTGGATGAAGAAGCATCGTTTAGGTCTTTATACACGCATTTGAAAAGGAGGGGTTGTTGAAAATGCAGTTGATCAATGGTGCAGTAGATTCAGTTAAGTTCCATCAATTTCATGCTTTCACTTAGATTCATTCATGTTCCACTAGTAATTGTCCAAAATAAGGGGTAAAGTAGATGACAACTAATCTAAAGCAACTTGAGAACTTCCAGAATATATTAAAGCAGCGATCATGATGCCTAGCTAGTGAACAATAAGAAGCTATAAACGCACTTTGCATAAATAACTTTATCAATGGATATAAATTCAAAGAACTGATAGCAAAAGAAGTAAGTCGCACCTCAGGATGTGATTCATAAAAATCTCTTAACCGTGTGCGAAATAACTTTCGCAAGGACACATTTCCACCTTCAGAAAGCAACTTTGAATCGGGATTTAATGTAAGATGGAGGTCTGGCTTCATACAACTTGTTCGTTCATCAAACCTGAGCACCTTCTTTATAACAAGTGCCTCTGGAAAGATATATTTCAACTGGGCCAGATGACTATGCGTAAATCTCCTATAGAAGTTACAGCATACAATCAATAAATGAGCCAACAGTGCATTGCTAGCATACAGAGGAGATCTCATTCTCCAAATCGACAATTCAGAAAAAGAAAAAGTAACAATGTGACACGCAAAATGAAGCGAGAGAGAGACACACCTATCAGTTAAACATTCAATTTTGGGGCAGATATTCGTGAAAGTTGTTGTAGATCCTTTCAACTGCAACAACCTTATCGAGCTATCCAAGCTGTCAAAGAACTGACCCAAAATTTCATACCTGCGGTTAAACCCCACAAGTTAGCGCGTGACAAGAACGAACACTCAACAACAGAACAAAATTCAGATTTACTAGCTAAAACACCAAGAACACATCCTACTTTTCCGGCATCTTGACGGGCTCATCTACAGATGCCTTGGATTTGCGGGGGGAGATTTCAGCGAAAGACGGTGCAATCTTCCTTCGGGCGGACTTGATCTGCCCCGTACGATCATGATTCTGCCGCTGGCCTTTCTTATCCTGGAGGCTTTCAGCGACTTTCCTAACTTCTCTAATAGAGAGCGCAACGCCGCGGTTTCTGGTACGGTGCGAGAGCTGTGAGGCCTTCTCTGGTGTTTTGGAGCTCAGTGAAATGGGATCTGGTGATTGGGATTTGGAGGCTGAGTGGCAGATATGGGGCTTCTTAGACTTGAAGGGCAACGACTTGGCCTCTGAGGAGCTCATCCTACGGGAAAACGATACTCCGGCGAGGGGGAATCTGAGATTTCTATCAGAAATGGAGATTGAGCAGTGACTGTGTTATATATTAGGGCTTCTTTTGGCGGGAAATCTAGGCTGCTCCTCTCGTGAATCGATGCCACGTGGAATTCCCGCCAAAATGACCCGTTAGTTCCCGCAAGTTCTTTATGGGGCCGTCGACCTCGAGATTCGATACATAGGCCCATCCAACGTTCTTTTGTTTTAGACTATTAGGCCTCCTAGACGGTTTATTGCGCTGGAGATTGCGAGGCCTCTAAATGGGCCTGACAGCCCAATCAGTCATCTGACATCTGAGGCCGGATACGAGAAACAGATAAAAAAAATAGGATCCACCCGTGTTACAGTTGCAAATTAAAAAAGGATAAATATATCCTTCAATATATTATATAAATGCGTTTAAGTAAAATAAAAATATTGGTTAAATTAATTAATATAATATGTTTTTTTAAATTATATTTTTTAATTTTCTTTATCTCTCCCTTTCTTACTTGATTATTGTTAAAAAAAATATTAATAGGGTTAATTTTAAAAAAAATTAATAAACTTATTCAATAGATCTTATATATAAAATCAACATCAACTCATCAATTAAAATTTACATTTAGGGGATGGAGTATATAATAAAAATGAGTTTTGCATTATAAAGAATCTAAACGGACTGATATATTTTGACAAAAAAAAAAACTAACTAATATACACGTGCACACACATATATATGCTGTGTAGATCTAAAAAAATATCTTTAAATTTTAAAATTTCAAATCAATCTTATTCACTACACTTTAACAATAATTGACAATATTTGAAAAGCAAATTACAACATATTTTTGTAATTATTCTTGATTTGATATTTGGAAATTTTAAAAGTTGTTTTTTTTGAAATTTTCCCAATAAAATCCACTTGTGTGGACCAAATGACCTTATATAGGCTGTAACTTAAGAAGAAAACCCCATTTTATTCGTCAAAATACTTTATGTGATTAAGAAATTGATAGACAAAAATCGATATTTTTTATATCTTGTAAATAAAAAAATCGATATTTTTTGTTAAAAAACAATTTTTATTCTGAAGAGGTAAGCGAAGACACTTTTTATTATGGTGACTTGCGTATAAAATCATTTGGTCATTAAAAGTATATTTCATATTTTCTTATTATTATGCATCAATAGATTTTTTTTTGTTTCAACAAATAACGCCCTCATATCGGACATGGGATTCAAATTTATGACTATAGGAGTTATGAATTGATTTCTTCCTAGTCGGACCAACTCTTATTGTTATGGATCAATAAAGTCATTGATATAATAGTTGATAGTAGATGATAGTTGGATTTTTTTGGGCCCAACAGCAAACTGGCTTCTCTTGATTTTATGCCATTTCAAATTTCTATAGAAGCACGCAAGATTTTTTTAACCAAAATAAGCGAACAAGATTAGAATATTAGAATACTCATAAATATGTTAAATTTGAAAAAATATAATATTTTGTTCAAATTAATTTTTCTCAAGGCAAGTTGTAATTGTAATTTTTAACACTATTTGTATTTTTGAGGTATTCTAATTTAAAATTTATGAATTTTAAATTTCTAGATATCATTTTCTTAATTTATTTTCAGAAAACCCAGGAGATCTTTATTGCATCTAAAGTTTTGAAATATTTTAAAATTCTAAATTTAGCATCTCATAATTTCACAGATTAACACTCTTAAGAATATCTCAGTAGTCAACCATTTATTAAACCACCAAACAAAAATTAGCAGAATAAACAATATTACAAGTTATCACAGCTCGGCTTTGAGATGTGGAATAAGAATTTTTTTTTAATTTTATTAAGACCTCTAAAAAGTTTTGTTGGCCCAAAAAGGCTTCTAATAATTTTTTATTTTCTAAACTTCATTTTTAAATTTTTTTAACATAATAGGCTCTTTTTAACCCTAATCTTTGGAAGTTGCTCCAATAAACCTCACATCCATGTCTAGTTACTTTTTTATCTACCGGGAACAGCGAAAAAGCAAAAACCCAATTTTCGGAAAGGTCGGGGTTATGGGAATGAGATCAAAGTGGCGTGAACTTGGCGGAGGTAGATAAAGAGGGGGGAGCCGAAGTAATACTCATCCCCACGTCTCCTTACACTAATAAACAATCTTGACGGAGGAGGCGAAGAGAGGCCCAAAAACTCAGCGTATGGCTTCCAAAGTCATATTAAATAAACGAATTTACGTGTTACTGTAATTTCATCGTCTTCTACGCAATCAAGCCCTCTTCCTCTCTTGCCTTCATGCTCTTTGTATTCTTCCCCGCTCTGATTAACGTCTTCTCTCGCCGTATTAGCCTTCCCTCTGCTGGTTTCAACCCCTAAATTTCTTAACTTTCAGGGGGGGTTTTGCCCAAATTTCATTACTGGGAGTACTTCACCTATTTCGGTCGGTACTGCGTCATTCCTAACTTCTTCCATGAGTGTTGCTTAGTTCCAGGTAACCCTGTGCTTCCGCGTACGGTTAGCTAATATTGTTGTCTTTCTTTTAGTGCTTGAATTTTTGTATTTTGTGTGCTTTTCTTCATGCGTGACAATGGATAAGGATGGCTCCGTTTGCTTTTTTTTTAATGATTTCGATGGGGTTTGATTCTATTGACCAAAATTGGTTTAGCATTTTTCTTCTTTTGCTTAAAAGCTCCAATCAGCTATCAGCAGCCTGATCGTTCTGTTTTTTTGGATGAGTCTGGTTCGCTAGTCAGTCGTACTTTAGCGCCCAGTTGATTAAGTCATCTCATTGAATTTTGTTTCTATGCACTAGAAAATTTCTTGCCCAACTCCTTCCTAAATAGAAAGAATGTTTTTCGTGCTATGTAGATGCAAATTCTTGCTGGATATTCTGTCAGCACGGAGGCTAGGTTCAACTGAGTGAATGTCATATGTTCAATTTGATCGTTTTCAAAATATCCACCCATAGTTTATGTCAAAACGAACGTAGGCATATAAAGTCTGCAACTGACATATTTGTCCTTTAGCTTAAGTTGGGTAAAGATTGATGCCTATGATTTGAAGTTGACATGAAATGCCCCCTCCAGCAATTCGCTTAATGTGTCTGAAAATAACTTCTTTCATGTTTACTTTTTGGTATGATTTTGATCTTGACTCTTTACCCTGTCCTAACCATTCAGGTTTCTGGGTCATGGACTGGCTGTTTATGCCTACTTTCAGTGTCTGCGAACAATGTTTATCAGGCCAAGGGGTCCTAGTGTTTTTAACATATTCAAATGGAAGCGTCAAGACGGATCATCTTTGACAACAGGTTTGCTTCAGGATGTTCCACCAGAGATTGAGTTGTCTGACTATGGAAGGATTCCAAGTCCAGGTAGTGAGAGCCCTTCAGGGCTTCTTAATGGCGAGAGTTTGAACATAGAGCCGATTTCTGACTTGGACCTCTTCTTTGAAAGGCTTTACAGCTACTACTGTGAGAAAGGGCTCTGGTGCATTATTATAAAGTGGATTGTTGAACTTCTCAGTCTAGGATTTACCATATGTTTCTCGGGATTTTTCTTATTATATGTTGATTGGAATGGACTTCGCAATGCGAAGTGTGGGATGGATGCAGTGGAATCAGGAATTAAGCCTTGTGATCTTGGTAAAGAAGCTATTTCATCACCCTTTAACCCACTAACACTTACAAAGGTTATTATTGTTGGATATTTAGCAATATTTTCCATCTATTGGATATTCTGTTTCTTGAGGTTCTTTGCTCAACTAAAGGACATTCTGGAAATCCGTCACTTTTATTACAATAGGTAAGCACAAATGATAAACGTTCAAATTTAAGACAAACTACAACTTTGGGATGACTAACATCATTTTGTCATAATTTTCATGATCTTCTTGCAGTCTCCGTGTTACGGACAATGAGATCCAAACTATGCCCTGGGCTACTATTCTTGAAAAGGTTGTTTTGGTGCAAAGTTCTAGGCAGCTGTGTGTGGTAAAAGATCTCTGTGCTCATGAAATGGTGATGAGACTGATGCGGAAAGAAAACTACTTGATTGGAATGATCAACAGGGGAGTGCTTGCTTTTCCCATTTCTCAGTGGGTCCCAGGTGCTGGTCCTATGGTGAAATGTGGTCCTAATGGAGCACGATATCGTCTCATACTAACCAAGACCCTTGAATGGACTTTAAACTAAACTGGTGCATCCTGCAAAGCATGTTTGATCGGTGTGTTAATTTCTATGCAGATTCCTTTTCATGTATATTCAGCATTTTCATACTATCCGTTTCGACAAATTGTGTGGATATATGTGGGTCTTTTAATTTTACTTAATTTAAGGAGTGGTTGTTGAAATTTTCCTTCAAATTGTTATTAAAAATGATGATGCTAATCCGTTGATTTAGTGGCCTTTTAGGAGATGTAGGATGGTGGCTTATAGACTGTTAAACTTGGTATATATTGGCTTGCAAGAGAAACATGCCCCAATAACTTTGGACATTATGCTTGGAATTTATTGGTATGTTAAAAAGCAATTTTTTGGCACTATTGAATATTAAATGATGTGTCTGCCGCATTGTAAATTTAAGTTCACATGCCTAACTATAATTAAGATTAACTAATGAATGGTATTCTGATCATGCTTCTGCTTCTTGCTTCCTAGTTAACTGCTGGGCATTTTTATTATAGACAGTATTACCTGTGGTGACACATGGAGATCTTTCATTAGTTTGAGTATTCATTCAATAAGGAAAGAAAGAGTAAATATTTATTTTTTCTTGTATTTATCAATGTTTCTTATTATGGATGGTATCTCAATTAGTTTCTTAATATTCATTATTTTTTACTCATCTGTGTTAGAAGTATTTTATGTCCAATCCAAGATTACATGATTTCTCTGCAGAAACTTTTGTGTTAGAAGGGATTTTGTGTCCAACCCAAAGACATTGAAGAAAAGGCTAATGGTAGTTGGGCTTGCAATGCTTTTACTTTCTCCATTTCTTGTCATATTCATGCTGGTGTATCTCTTTCTGAGGCATGCTGAACAATTTATAATCATCCAAGCACAGCATCATCTCGAAGGTGGTCAAATTTGTCAAGGTGGATCTTTAGGGAATTCAATGAGGTATCTCTATTCTTTTCGTTTTTTTTTTCTTTTTTTCTTTTTAGGTTTAGCCTTCAGTTCATCTGCCTTTTGCCCATGGTTTCCTTCTAGTCTAAAAATATACATTATTCAGTAAAGTTTTTAA